CCCCCCTCTCCTCCCCTCCCCGGAAGTGCCGCCGAAGTGAGCGCCGCTCAAGGGAGCGAGCTCATTCTTAGTTATTCTAGTATTATATATTTACTTTTGTAATGTTTTAGCGTTATTTTTTTGTTGTGTTTGTTTCGGGACATCCGTCAGTCTCTCTCTTTTCCCTCCAGCGTTGTATTCAATTGTTTCGAGTGGTGCTCGAGTTGTATCTTGTTTCGGAGGTGGTGTTTATCTTTCTAATACCCTAGCCCCATTTCTTTCTTGCATTGGCTTTCTTCCCCTCACCTCTCCACCTTGTTGCCACTCACAGAAAAGTCGCCCACTTGCTATTTTCCTCGGATTCGCTGCCCCCCCGAGACAACACCGCCACCCTAGGTCCATCCAAGTATAGGTTGTGTTGTGTTTGTTTACAATTTTTGAACCTTATGCTGTAATTTCCTATTTAAATTAAATAATAATATTTATTTTTCATTGGTATTGGGTTAAACCTAGTATCATTTCGTATTATAGTTACTCTAACTCATGTCCTATCTTAAGGTTACCAAAATTCACTAGTACCTAACTTAAATTCCACTCAAAAACTATTCCCACTTGTTGATTTTTCAAATCAGCCACCCAAATTTTTTTTATCCCAAATTAGCCTTATACACCCTCTTTCATTCTCAACCTTAAACCTTATTCATTCTCAACCTTAAACCTTATTTATGTCACCAAAGAGACAAGTTTCGGAAGCCATGTTGGAACTTATCATAGAAAAGATACAACGGGATATTCGTCGACCTCAGCAAAAATTGCTGGAATTGAGGAAAGGATCCACATGAAGAGATCACCGTCGATTGTGATAGAGAGATTCGAAGAGGAGAGAGCGAGAAAAATCTGAACCCTTCTATAAAGGTGATTCCGGTGAAGCGGAGGATAGGCTACGTCGCTTCAGGATTAATATCAGAGGAGGTTGGCGAATGGAGTGACTTTTAGAGGACAGAGAGACATGGTAGTGATGATAAGCTTACCGAATTTGAAGGGGAGAATGAATCGGGATGATTTTATTATGTTTTTACAAACCGTTTAGAGGATTTTTGAGTACAAGGAGGTGTTAGCTGATACGAGAGTGAAGTTTTCTACTATAAAGTTGAAGAAGAGTGCATATTTGTGGTGGGAAAAGCTGGAGGGACAGAGAGAAGGTCAAAAATTGCTACTTGGGAGAAGAAGAGGGCGATGTTCTCCAAATAAATTCTGATATATGTTCAAAAGAAAACTTTTAGAGTGACCTCAATAAATTAATATAAAAGATACCTCTTGAAGGAAAAATTTTTTTAGAGGAGATTTAAATGAATATGCTAGTAGAGTGGTAGAATATTTTAGAAGTATTTATTGGTGGTCATGGCTTTAGAGTGACTAATGAAGAAGGTTAGACTCATATTAATTTTTTTTTAGCTTAGAATTTTGTTGTTGCTAATATTTTATTTATTAAAGAGATGAGTTGATTATCACTTTTATGAATGGATGTAATAAAAGACAAATTGATTGTCTTCTTATGAGAAAGATAAATTGTCAAATTTGTAAATATTATAAGATCATTCTAAGTGAAAATTTAATTACCCAATATCGATTATTGATTTTGGATTTTAAGATAATGGTTTAGAAGATAAAAAAATGCAACAAAATTTTATCATAAATATAGAAGGGAGCACTTAAAAGATACAAATAAATTTATTTTTATGATTAAACTTCATGTTCTTATTATTTGGGATATTTATGAAAAAGCTAGTATTATGAGATAAAGTAATGAGCACTATTAAAAAAGTTATAAAAGATGTATTTGGAAATAACAAAAAAAAACCTATATGAAGAAAAATAATTAATTGAATAACGTGCAAGAAAAGATAAAATTATTTGAAATTTTAATAAAATAGTTTAAATGAAAAAGCTTGAAAAATTGAGAAAATATAAGGTGACCCATAGGGAGTCTCAAGTAAATAATTTTTTATACTAAGAATTTTTGTTTTAATAACACTTATCATATATTAGATATTAAAGTGTTATATATATATATGCTCTGCTGGGGTTTTGCCATTATGGCAAACGTTGGTTCTGCTCCACTGCTCGCGCTTAATCTTCTTTCCTTTTCCTCAGCATCACGCGTCAATATCCTCGTGGCTCGTCTTTTGCGGGAGTGCGTCCATGCGACATGTTAAGAATCTTCTTTGGCGGCGTCGTGCGCATCTCTGCGGGATCGTGCTTCACGGTCTTCCACAGCGTCACAAAGTTGACGACGCTTCCTCCTTAGTTATCGCGGCTCGCGTCGTCTTCTCACGCACTAGACGACGTCGTTGTTGCCCTACCACCCGATAGAAGGTTTCCCCCATACTCGACGACGTCTCTGTCGCCCTGCCCGACAAAAGTTCCCCCGAAGTCTAGCGGCTCACCTAGCCGTTCTAGAGATGGCCTCGGAAATGTGTTCCTATGCTTACTCGTGCTCTACTTTCAAGTTCAGAGCCCGAATTTCATATTGGCAAGTCCTGCAATATTCCTCAATCTTTCTACGACGCTATTGAAGGTGGTAGTGATCTTACTTTCATTAAAAAGCTTGGCAATCCTTTATGGTTACCCAATATTGGAGATCATTTCGAAAGAGTTTGATGCTATGAAACTATTGGGGAATTGGAATATTGGTTTACTTGACGGTCGACATATACTTATTCAGTTGTCTCACAATGCTGATTACACTCACTTTTTTTCTCAAAAATTTATCAAGATAAACAACATTTAGATGAAAATTTTGAAGTGGTCTGTCGATTTTGATCCAAAAGTGGAGTCCCTTATCATTCATGTTTGGATAAAGTTTCCTGGGTTAAAATTACATCTGTTCAACTTGAAAAATCTCTACTCTTTAGCAACTATTTACGGTAAGTCTCTCAAGGTTGATAGTCCTAAGTTTGTTGTCACCAGAGCCCTTGTGGCTTGTGTGTTAGTTGAGAGAGATATCACTCAACCAGCTCCGGATGAGGTATGGATCGACACCACTCGCAACGGGTATTGACAAAAGGTTGAAATAGAACCACACATTCCTTATTGCTCTAATTATAGTATATTTGGTCACAGTTCTACTATTTGCTATCGCTTGCATCCTCATCTAATGTCAAATATCGCTAAAGATTAGCCACCTACCATCCTTATTGAGAAGAATCTCATCCTCTTTCCAACACCGCAGTTCTAGATGAAGAACACTATACTACATGTACAAATCCAAATGTGATTATATCACTTATTGTTATTGAAGAATACCCACTTACATGCCAAGACTCACGAGAGTGCTTTTTCGATCCGAAAAAAGATCAGCTGATACAACAAGTGCACATGTTTGGCACACTTTAGATCAATCCACTAATCAGGTGAGTCAATCCTCGGATGAGGAATGACGGGTCTATTCTAAGAGGAAGAAGAAGAATGGAGGTCAACT